CAGGCGTTATCAAGAGCTGATTAGTCAAATTCAAGAGAAAGACATGATCATAAAGAGACTTGAAGGACAACTGGAGAATCAGGTAAAGAAAAGTCCTCACAGTGAGGAAGAAATGGTCATATGTGTCCATTAAACTCTCACTTAAGGACTCATAGAAATGTTGTTCAAAACGGCCCTCTTTATCTGCAGAACTTCATTCGAGCTCAAGAGGCAAAGATAATTGAAGAAAAAGCTGCCAAAATCAAAGACTGGGTCACATTTAAGTTACGAGAGGTGAGTTGAAACATGGAAGTACGGTGGATCAAAAAAACATTAGAGCGTGTCATCTACATTTCTCATTTCTTTTTTGTGTCTTGTAGATGGAAACGGAGAACCAGCAGTTGAAGAAGGCAAACCTGAAGCAGACCGAGCAGATCCTCATACTGCAAGACAAGCTTCAGAGTAAACATACTGTAGTTTCGTTCCTGTTTTCTTTCCTTTTACCATTTGCTTTTGCTTATGTTTGTATATATCTCACTGTCTTTCTGTCAGCTCTTCTCGAGAGGCCCATGTCTCCAGCGGTGGATGCCCATCTGGTCCCCTCCAGCCCACTCCACCCTCCCAGCTGCCCCGGGACACCGCCTGCCCAGGAGGAGGGCTGGAGATTGACAGGGTCCATAGCCAACTGTAGAGGTACATCATCATCATCATCATCATCTACCTCAGCATGGTTTGAAGTTTTGTTAGAGCTTTGCGGATTCCATTTTTTTTCAGGTTTATTTATGGATCAGTCTTAAAATATTGCTTTATTGTGTAAAACAGTTGATTTATTTAAAGCTGCAGTCCGTAACTTTTTTTGGTTAAAAATTATCCAAAATCAATATTTGAGCAAGTACATAACCAGCCAGTGTTCAAAACTATTGCCTTACTTTAGCCTGATTCTCAACGGTTATCTTATAATAATGTTTACTAATTTGAGTTGTAGGGGTAGGTTTTCGCGGGAAAATTGAGCATGGCGCTGCGTCATTACGTCACTTCTGTAAACATAAAGAAGTTGTCCCGGCTACTAGGCTATCGCATGTGAGGATGCTGCAGGTGGCAGATCGTTAGCCTTTTCTCACAGCAGCTAGAATAATTAAATGTCAAAAAATAATTTTGGTGGTGGATTGTAATCCAGAAAGAATTTTATGAAACACGTGAATTAAATTAAATTATATTCCTGTTTTAAATGTGCTTCTGATTACAGATAGCCTGGGATTACACAAAATTTGTATTTTAAAGACAACCAGTTCGAAGGGAGCATAGTTTGCTTTTTGGGTTAAAATTATTTCATTGTATGAAATTCGAATGGCATGACAATTAGAGATTAGACTGTACAGAAATGTAAATCTACACACACACTATACTCATAGTCACGCAATGCTGATATTGTTAATATTAATAATCTGAGAATAAAGTATAACAATAATAATAATTTGCACGGTTTGATGTGAAATGAGCTAATCAATCGTTAGATTAAATCACCATTGGTAGCACGATTTATTGTAATGCTTTTTTCCTCAGTTGGTCAGAACAAACGTGGCAGACTTGTTACTTACTTACTCAGATGACAATATCCGGTGAAAATTCTTATTTGGGTCATATATTCCAAGATGTAGGCTAGAATCTGTGATTACTAAGTATAGGATTCACACCGGTGCAGTGACTGAATGCCACAAATACTCCTCAAAACATTAGATACATAATAATAGAGTACAACCCAGGCAAGGAAGATAATTCCGCAAGTAACTGCAATTCCAGGTTTTCAAACAGAGATGGCGACAAAGAGGCAAAACTTACGGACTGCAGCTTTAAAGTGACTTAATTTTACATTTTGTATTGTTTTAAAGTCCACTTATTAAGTCAGATATGGTTTATTGTAGCGGCCATTTCCTGCCTTCAGCTTTAACCAGTTTTTGATACTGTACATTTAAGATTTCTCTTCTTTCTTCTCCTCTTTTATGATTTGTATTGTTATTTTGATATTGTACTCAGTTTTAGCATCAATGCTATGCCAATTATTAAAAAAAATGTGCAGTTTCCATAAATGGTTTAGGTCAACTGTGTTATTAGTATTCACATGGTACATCAAGATTTTGATCAAAATAATTGTTAAATAATGTTAGAATGAACAAAACATATTAGTGATGCACCAGCATTATTATTGAAAGCTGCCTCTTGATATTTTAGCTGAACAAATTTTACACATTGCTACTGTAGCATCATTTTTGGTCATTGTGACGTGCATCTACACTGCTGACATGTTTACTTGTTGTAGTTTATTGTGCACTTATTAAACATCACTGTTTCCATTGATGATTTTGGCCTGCCAGAATTATTTTTTCTGAAACCAAAAGTGCATTTTTTTCGTGTCTTTTCTTTTTCGGCCCAATATTTTCAATTGCCTAAATTTTGGGGCATCACTAAAACATATAATAATAAAATATTAAATCATTTAAAAAAATTGTTCAGCTTTTAAGTACACTTTTTGGATGTTTCACATATGTGTTTATATCTGTTGCAAATTGCAGATAGCAAAAGGAAAATCATGGAGGGTTGTGATTCCGCTTTTCATAGTGCATCTTTACTTCCCACATTACAAGACAAAGGAGACTCTCATAAGTCTAGTCAAGATGGCGTTGACACCACAACCTCGGTAAAGGAAAGCGCAGAGGGGGCGGAGCCTTCTTTTGGAGTGACGCACGAGAGAGCATTGGGAGGAGCCTCGGACAGAGATCACTCTTCTGATGAACTCAACAGCAAATTTCGTTCCCAGCGCCTTCGCTCTTCTTCCTCATCCTCTTGCTCGTCCTCCTCAGCATATGAGACGCCTGGTCCGGGTGGCTTTGACACGCCTACCCCCACTCCGACGAGCCCTCCTCTTGTGTCCCTCTCACCCCCATTAGTACGCCTCCCGCTGTCATGCCCCTTCCCTCTGCCTTTACCCTTGGGCACCAGCATGACCCTGCCCAAAGTTCGCACCCCTCTAACCCCTCGTGACAGCATCCAGCTTGTGAAGAAACACCACAGTCAGCCACAGCCCGGCATAGAGCGCCTTCATCAGATCAACGTAAGTATTGATATCGGAAACTGCACCTCTCCATCCTGCCACAGTCTGGTCCCCGGGACAGTTTCCACACATGGGCTAGAGGAGACGGACATTGATGAAGGGCCTCCAGAAAGCATGGAGGGTGTGGTGGAGGCGTCAGAGATGGAAACCCAGCCCACTGATGGAGGATTATTTAAAGGGTTGGCCAAGGAGTTTGAGATGATGGACCCAGAATCTCTTAAACCACCTACACCACCTCTGCACCGATTTCCCTCTTGGGTAAGACAGGAAAGAATACTATGGCTTGTGCCTCAAATTGTGTGACTTGTTGAGGACAGATCTGCTATCACAAGTTATCAAGTTGGTACAAGTGCCGATTGTAATGTAAATGAGCAGCTGGTGCATTTCTACTTTTTTTTTAGCATTATTAAACTTAGTTAAAATGTATACACAAAATAAATCACCACAAAAATATAACTTAAAATATATCACTTCCAGTTTGTTGTTTTAGTATTTATTTATTACTCATGACTGTTTTAAGTCAAATATTTAATACAATATTTAGTATTACATATTTTAGTATGCTGTTTGGACTATACACTATCATTTAAAAGTTGGTGGTTAGTAATATAATTAAGTAAAATTAATACTTTTATTTAGCAAGGGCGTGTTAAACTGATTGCAATGCAAATTGATTGAATACATTTAGAATGTTACTAAAGATTTCTATTTCAAATAAATCTTGTTCTTCTAAACTTACATCATAAAAATCATCATGGTTTTCACTAAAAGATTAAGCAGCATAACTGTTTTCAACATTGAGGATAATAAGAAATGTTTCTTGAACTCCAAATCAGCATATTAGAATAATTTCTGAAGCATCATGTGACACTGAAGACTGGAGTAATGGCTGCTGAAAAAAAGCTTTGCCATCACAGGAATAAATTGCATTACATGATATTAAATGGAAAACAGTAATTTAAAATTGTAATAATATTTCACAGAATTACTGTACTTGTAACTACAATATTACTTGGTCAGCAGAAGAGACTTTATAACATATATTACTTTATTAGTGATGAACTAATGGTGCAATCAAATCAAGTACCATTAAGTGTTAGTTCCAAACAGATTAGTAGTTACTCAGCAGTAGTGCAGCCCTACCCAGAATGCTTAGGGTGAGTTTATGGGGCTCTTTTGATTTGGGCTAGCAAGCAACCACCTGACTGCATAGCAACACATAAAAGAACACTCAGAAAACCATTCGAAATATTTAGCAACCACTCAGCAACACCCTGGCAACCACCCACATCACCCTAGCACTACATTGGCAAATTTTGTATGATAAATAAACATCACTGTTTTCATGTTTCTGTGTGTGTTTTTCAGGAGAGCCGGATTTATGCGGTAGCTAAGTCAGGAATGAGAGTCTCAGAGGCCTGTCTTGGAGCCAAGACTATTGGGAGAGGTCAGTCAACCAATCAGTAACAATCACGGATCACTCAGTATATGTCCGTCACCAGCAACTTGCTGGCAGTTCACGCAACTTACTTTTATAATGCCTCCTTAAGTAATTATAATCAGCAGGACAATTACTGGAAATTCATCGGACAGCAAGTCAGTAAGGGTCAGTAAGATTTTTTTTTTTTTCAATGAATACGCCAAGACTATTGGGAGAGGTCAGTCAACCAATCAGTAACAATCACAGATCACTCAGTATATGTCCGTCACCAGCAACTTGCTGGCAGTTCACGCAACTTACTTTTATAATGCCTCCTTAAGTAATTATAATCAGCAGGACAATTACTGGAAATTCATCGGACAGCAAGTCAGTAAGGGTCAGTAAGATTTTTTTTTTTTTCAATGAATAAATTTTTTTTATTCTGCAAGGATGCATTAAATTAATTAAAATTAACAGTAAAGACATTTTAAAATTTAGCAGGATTTCTGTTTCGAATAAATTCTTTTCAACATTGATAATAACAAGAAATCGGCATATTAGGATTAAAGAAAACCAGCATATTAGAATGATTTTTCAAGGATCATGTAACACTGAAGACTGGAGTAATGGCTGCTGAGAATTCAGCTTTGTTATCACAGGAATAAATTGCATTTTGAATAATAGAAAACAGTTATTTTAAAATGTAATAATAGTTCCTCTTCAGGAACTCGAGCTGCGTCGGAAGACGCTTAGGGAACGCCCTTCAGCGTGACCGGCTCTGAACCTCATGTGTAATCAGACCAATAGATGGGCGAGACATCACGGGCGGGTGACGTAGTGACCAGGAAGCTATAAAAGCACGTGTGGTGAGACCAGCGTCAGCTTTCTGTCATTCAGCAAGCGCTCTGTGTGTGTGTGTCAGTCTGATATCTGTTTGTGAGTCTTATAATGAACAGCATCAATGGAGAGTGGAGCTTGTGCAGTCGGCTCTCGAGAAAGAAAGAAAAAAAGAAGCCCGCTGTTAAGCGCTCGCTCTCCGAGGAGTGTGTCCGTGCCTGTGATCTTGCGATTGCAGTCCCGCTGCTGCTGAGGCACGGCGGCGACTGAGTTCGTGGGAATCGCATATGATCTGGTGGACGGGTTGGAGACGGCTCGTCCTATCTCCACCCGTGTTCCCTAGATCTAGAGCTCGTTCTCGAGGCTGGAAGCCCACACTGCGGTTCTTCCCCCTCTGAGTGAGAGCTTGCTGATGCGGCCATCTTTTTCTGAAGAGATTGATGTTGTTGGTGTGACTGAGTCGCTCGTGCGCTGCCGAGGCAACACGTATATTACATCATTCGATTTCGATGTGAATCTTACTCACCAGACCGTATTTACCCCTCTGGTTGTTGACTGCATTTAATTCTGAGGAATAAAATGAAGTATTTTTCTGACTATGAGAAGTTAGATACACAGGGGCACTTGGGGAAAAAATAAATAAATAAATTTTCTCGAGTGAGAGCACGTGTTTACCTCTCTTCCTCTGAGGAGGTTGAGGCGGTCAGCAGTAGGGCTGAACGCTTTTGGAAAATAATCGAATTGCGTTTATTTTACCAATATTGCGATTGCGATTTAAAATGCAATTATTTTTTAAAGCTCTTTATGTTCTGTATTATTCAACAAAGACAAGCTATAAATCATTGTATAGTATGAACAACACAATATTAGATTGATTAAACATTAATGTTCTTTTCTGTAGGCCAGGCCTATATGTTACCGTGTAAGTGTGTAATAATTATGACTACATAAAGCACTGACAAATAAGCCTGGTGTAAACATTAATATGAAAGTCAGTAACAAATCACACAAACTAAAGTAGATTGCAGAAATATAAAAACAAATCTGTTGCTTTACCACACTACTTTATGTAATTCAAAGTCACTGTAATAAACATATGTAAACATGTGGACTGCACTTTTATCTCTTGCACTTGCACTGCCTGTTAACTTTAGACCAGTGGTTCTCAAACTTTTTTAGTCACACCACCCTTTAAACCTATAAAAAAATCTGGCTCCTCCCCCATTTCCCGATCCCCATCTCACCTCAGAGTACCACATAATTTCACTAAACATTATGAAAAATTAATGCTTATTTAATTTTAAAAAACCTACAGGGAAAAAAGCACCAGCATCACTTGAAACATTGAAAAATAGCATAGAGAGAATAACTGTTATTATTATTATTCTCTCTCTGTTATTTATTTATTTTTTGTGGGGGTTTTTGCGGGTCTCCCGCGAGCGCCACTCTCAGTTACCGCCCGGCAACGTAGTGGTGCTAAGAGGCTCGCCACCTCCGTGGAAGTCTCTAGAGCAGCAGGTTCGGTTGTTCCCTGCCGGTTCGCCATTACAGGGCACCGAGCTGGCTGCTCGCATTACACCAGAGATCAGTCTCGAGAGACTGATTCCCTTAGTAGACTTTTTGGCAGCGTGGAAACTACTGCCAAATGTGTCCTGCACACTGTAGAGAGGGGCTACAGAATCCAGTTTGGTTCTCCTCCGCCTCGTTTCAACGGGATTTGGCCCACGCTGGTGGGCCACGAGCAGGCTCTGGTCATGGAACAAGAAGTAGTCATTCTTTTGAGGAAGGAGGCCTTCGAGGTGGTCCCTCCTCATGCGAGGCAGTCTGGGTTCTACATCCGGTACTTCATAGTTCCGAAGAAGGTCCTGACGCCACTGGCACAGGACTTATGAGGGCAGTCCCCTCTGGGGTGCAGCGGGTTACACCACATTACACGGTGTCCGTCTCGCCTCAGTGCCCTCAGGAGATCGGCTGCTAACCCTGCCGGAGTTACAGGGCACAGCGGTCTCCCGCGAGCGCCACTCTCAGTCACCGCCCGGCAACGTAGCGGGGCTAAGAGGCTCGCCACCTCCGCGGAGGTCTTTAGAGCAGCAGGTTACAGGGCACCGAGCTGGCTGCTCGCATTACACTGATTCCCTTAGTAGACTTTTTGGCAGCGTGGAAACTACTGCCAAATGTGTCTTAGTGGGTCCTGCACACTGTAGAGAGAGGCTACAGAATCCAGTTTGGTTCTCCCCCGCCTTGTTTCAACGGAATTACGCCCACGCTGGTGGGCCGCAAGCAGGCTCTGGTCATGGAACAAGAAGTAGTTACTCTTTTGATGAAGGAGGCCATCGAGGTGGTCACTCCTCATGCGAGGCAGTCCGGGTTCTACAGCCGGTACTTCATAGTTCCGAAGAGGGATGGTGGGGTTGTGTCCCATTTTAGATCTACGTCATTTGAACCGTGGGCCGAGGCCCGGGGAATCAATGCTTCACCCCAGGGTGGTGAAGCAGATATGGAGAGTTTTTGGCCAGGCCCAGGTGTACCTGTTTGCGACTCATAGGACATCGCACTGTCCCCTCTGGTTCTCTCTGAGTCATCCAGCTTCACTGGGGCTGGATGCCACGCCTTTCCCCCGATCGCTCTGCTCCCGGGAGTTCTGGAGAGAGTGCACCGGGACGGGGTCCATCTTCTGCTAGTAGCCCCGTTCTGGCCGGGCAGAGTATGGTTCTCGGACCTGATTTCTCTCCTCGACGGCGCTCCATGGGAGATTCCTGTCAGGAGAGATCTCCTCTCACAGGCGGAGGGTACGATCATGCACCCCCGCCCGGAGCTGTGGAAGTTGTGGGTGTGGCCCCTGGTGGGGCACAACTCATAGCTTCCGGTCTCTCAACCGAGGTTGTTGAGACCATTCTCCAATCCAGAGCTCCTTCAACGAGGAAACCGTACGCCTCGAAGTGGAGGTTTTTCACTTGTTGGTGCGGAGACCGCCAGCTCGACCCAGTTAACTGCCCGGTTGGTACAGTGCTGGAGTTCTTGCAGGCCTGTTTCTCCGCAGGGTTGACCCACTCCACCCTGAAGGTCTACGTGGTGGCTATTGCGGCCTACCACGGCCATCTTGGTGGCCAGTTAGTGGGCAGACACCCCCTAGTTACACGTTTCCTCCGCGGTGCACTGAGGCCTCCGGTACGATCTCGGGTCCCCACGTGGGACCTGGCTGTGGTGCTAGAGGCTCTCTGTAGGCCTCCCTTCGAGCCTATTGAGGAGATCTCGGATCGCCACCTTACTATCAAAACTACCTTCCTCTGGCGATATCTTCTCTCAAGAGAGTTGGGGATTTGCAGGCCCTTTCAGTGGCCCCGTCTTATCAAGACTTTGTGCCCGGTCTGGCCAAAGCGTTTCTGTTCCCTCGAGCGGGGTATGTTCCTAAGGTCCCCTCCTCTACACCACGGCCTGTCGTGCTCCAGGCCCTCAGTCCTCGTCCCTTAGGGGATCCAGACCAGCAGAAGCTTAACTGTATGTGTCCAGTGCAAGCACTGGACGCATACATCCACAGAGCTGCGGTGGATAGTAGATGCCATTTCTATTTCCTATCAGTCTTTTGATCTCCCTTTGCCTCTTGGGGTCAAGGCTCACTCTAATAGAAGTGTGGTTCGTCAGGTTCTATGACCTAGACATGCGAGCCACTCCTGGCTCCTCTGTTCTCGCGCCTTAGCTGTGCACGCTTCCACACTAGGCGAGATTGGAAAGTCTGGAGGCATGGGCATTCTCGTTCCCTAAGCATCTTCCGATGCAGCTCAAGTTCCTGAAGAGGAACGTCTCAGGTTATGTATGTAACCATGGTTCCTCGAAGGAACGAGACACTGCGTCTCAGAGCCATACTTTCGGCATCTCTGCCAGCGCTTGCTTCATTCCTAGAAGCTGACGCTGGTCTCACCGCACATGCTTTTATAGCTTCCTGGTCACTACATCACCCGCCCGTGACGTCTCGCCCATCTATTGGTCTGATTACACATGAGGTTCAGAGCCGGTCACGCTGAAGGGCATTCCCTAAGCGTCTTCCGACGCAGCGTCTCGTTCCTTCGAGGAACCATGGTTACATACGTAACCTGAGACGTTTACCCTGTATTTTTGATCGAGTAAGTGCAGACTAATTTAAAAAACATTTAAATTTTACAGACCCTGAACGTTTGAATGGGTAAAAAAGGAATTAATCCTGTAAATGGAATGGGCTTATGAAATTATATTGAAGTGCCTACCCAGGCCCTATGAATTTTTACAACTTTGCAGAGTTTATGTAAGAGCCCATGTGTTGTTCCTTTGTTTCTCCAGTATCCACCCAAACTCAGCACTCAACAACTGGCCCCTTCACTCACCTCATTTATAAGAACATCAGTGTGCCTGTGTACTCCACACTTAAAGGGGTAAGATTACATCAACAATATGAGACTTAACTAATTCTTAGCTTGCAAGTGTCAAGCTAACTTGTTGTTTTACATATCAAGGACTGAGAGAAGTCTTTAAAGTAATACAAAATGTACTTGTCTTTCTCATCCTTGCTACAATGTGCTTCTGCCCTTTCAGAAAGCAACTCAGATCAGCAGTGTCCCTCTGCCAGATGATGACTCTGGGTCAGAAGACGACAGCAGCTCATTGGCCAGCCTGCACACATCCACACTGGTGCCAGATAAGAAGGGCAGTACTCCAGGCAGCCAAATATGAATAGTTAATTATAACTAGTTATGGTTAATTATTCATATTTCCCCATGAGCTGATTCGCTACACTACTCTAGGGCTTTCAGTGTCTTTTTATTTCACTTTTTTTTAACCATTTTATGTAATTAACTAGTTTATTTAACTGTAATTTAAGTGTGTAAATATTGTTTTTAAAAATAAAAAAAAAACAGTTGAAATTCTCAAAGATCCAGGTTCATCTCTTGGACATGTCTTTTGTCCCGCAGGTGTGTCTATGTCCTCCATCAGTTCAGAGAGTGACTATGCCATTCCTCCGGATGCATATTCACTGGAGAGTGACTGCTCAGAGCCTGAGCACAAGGTGCAACGCACCTCGTCTTACTCATGCGAGAGTGTCGGACCGGTACGTCTCTGAGCTCCTCATTTGAGCCACCTCTATATTTGTCTTCTCATCTACATTATCATTCAAAAATGTAGGGTCTGTAAGATGTTTTTTAAAGAAATTCCTTGTGCTCACAAAGGCTGCATTTAATTGATTAAAATACGGAGAAAAACAGCAACATTGGTAAATACTAGTGCTGGGCAATGATTACATTTTTTAATCGTGATTAATCACATGATTTTCTGCGATTAATTGCATTGTTATGCACAAAATTCACTAATGAATTCAAAAGTAACATATTTTTTCATTTAAAACTAATGCTATATGAATACAAATGCAATAACATTTGGTTTGCAAACACTTTAAACAAATAAGGTGCTTTTTACAGTAGTATTCCTTTTACATAGCAGCAGTTAAAATATTTATTGTAAATCTCAACTTATTACAACTAACATTAATGTAATCAAATTAAATATAAAACCAAAGCTATTTGCCACTGCCAGGGCATTAACTTTTTATAAAAAATATTTTATAGTTTGTTATAGAAAAACGTCTCAGGTTACGTATGTAACCATGGTTCCTCGAGGGAACGAGACGCTGCGTCGGAGGACGCTAAGGGAACGCCCTTCAGCGTGACTGGCTCTGAACCTCGTGTGTAATCAGACCAATAGATGGGCGAGACATCACGGGCGGGTGATGTAATGACCAGGAAGCTATAAAAGCACGTGCGGTGAGACCAGCGTCAGCTTCCAGGAATGAAGCAAGCGCTGGCAGAGATGCCAAAAGTATGGCCCCAAGACGCAGCGTCTCGTTCCCTCGAGGAACCATGGTTACATACATAACCTGAGACGTTCCTCTTCAGGAACTCGAGCTGCATCGGAGGACGCAAAGGAAACGAGAATGCCCACACCACCAGACTTTCAAAACTCGCCTAGTGTGGAAGCGTGCACTGCTAAGGCGCGAGAACAGAGGAGCCAGGAGTGGCTCGCATGTCTGGACCATCCTGCAGCGTCGCAGATGTCCTGCATTGAGACACCTGCCAAGAAGGCCTTAGAGACCGCCACACTTCTCGTAGAGTGAGCCTTGACCCCAAGAGGCGAAGGGAGATCAGAGGACTCATAAGAAATAGAAATAGCATCTGTTATCCACCGACTGAGGGTCTGTTTCGTAGCAGGAAGACCTCTCTTAGGGGGACCATTGCATACAAGCAGTTGGTCCGCCCTTCTCCACAAGACAGCTCTGTGGACGTATGCGTCCAATGCTCGCACTGGACACATACAGTTTAGCTTCTGCTGGTCTGGATCCCCGAAGGGAGGAGGACGGAAGGCCTCGAGTACGACAGGCCGTAGTGTAGAGGAGGGGACCTTAGGAACATAACCCGCTCGAGGGAACAGAAACGCTTTGGCCAGACCGGGCGCAAAGTCAAGATAAGACGGGGCCACTGAAAGGGCCTGCAGATCCCCAACTCTCTTGAGAGAAGATATCGCCAGAAGGATTTGATAGTTTTGATAGTAAGGTGGCGATCAGAGATCTCCTCAATAGGCTCGAAGGGAGGCCTACAGAGAGCCTCTAGCACCACAGCCAGGTCCCATGTGGGGACCCGAGATTGTACCAGAGGCCTCAGCCTCAGTGCACCGCAGAGGAAACGTGTAACTAGGGGGTGTCTGCCCACTGACTGGCCACCAAGAGGGGCGTTGTAGGCCACAATAGCCGCCACATAAACATTCAGGGTGGAGTGGGTCAACCCTGCGGAGAAACGGGCCTGCAAGAACTCCAGCACTGTACCAACCGGGCAGTTAACTGGGTCGAGCTGGCAGTATTCGCACCAAGAAGTGAAAAGTTTCCACTTCAAGGTGTACAGTTTCCTCATTGAGGGAGCTCTGGATTGGAGAATGGTCTCAACAACCTCGATTGAGAGACCGGAAGCTATGAGTTGTGCCCCTTCAGGGGCCATCCCCACAACTTCCACAGCTCGTGGCGGGGGTGGATGATCGTACCCTCCGCCTGTGAGAGGAGATCTGTCCTGGCGGGAATCTCCCGTGGAGCGCCGTCGAGGAGAGAAATCAGGTCCGAGAACCATACTCGGCCTGGCCAAAACGGGGCTACTAGCAGAAGACGGACCCCGGCCCGGCGCACTCTCTCCAGAACTCCCGGGAGCAGAGCGATCGGGGGAAAGGCATACAGACGAAGCCTCGGCCACGTTTGTACCATGGCATCCAGCCCCAGTGGAGTAGACCTCCCTGGTGGTTGATGTAAGAGACCACCGTTTTGTTGTCGGTGCGCACAACACATGGTGACCTCTTAGGTCTGGGAGGAAGTATCTTAGTGCATGAAGCACGGCCAGCATCTCCAGACAGTTGATGTGCCATGTGAGATGGCGACCACTCCACAGACTGCGGGCAGGGTGGCCACTCATGACCGCTCCCCAACTGGTGAGGGACGTGTCCGTCGCTAGCGTTACGCGGCGACAAGGAGCTCCCAGCACCGGGCCCTGAGGCAAGAACCAAGGTTTCCTCCACATGTCCAAGGCACGTAGGCATCGCTGCATGACCTTGAACATGCGAAGCGGGTTTCCCCTCGGGGAGAACCCCCTGCTCTTGAGCCACCACTGTAGGGGCCTCATGTACAGCAGGCCAATAGGTATCACGTTGGACGCAGCTGCCATCAGACCCAGCATTCTCTGAAACTGCTTGACAGTGAATGACCGGCCTTCTCTGACTCTCGCGACTGCGGTAAGGATCGACGCTATCCGAGCAGGGGACATACGTGCCTGCATCGTGGTCGAATCCCACACCACGCCTAAGTAAGTGGTCCTCTGTAATGGAGAAAGCACACTCTTCTTGGCGTTTAGTCTTAAACCCAGCTCTCTCATGTGGGCGAGAACGACATCTCGATGTCGAACCACCATCTGCTCTGACTGAGCTAAAATCAACCAATCGTCGATATAGTTTTATTATGTGGATGCCCTGGCAAGGCCGAAAGGAATAACACGATATTGGTACGCTTTGCCCCCGAAAGCAAACCTCAGGAACTTCCTGTGAGTGGGAAG